CCCCCTTGTCCTTCTCTTCGTTAAACTAGACATACCCAATTCTAGCAACCGTTCCTTATATGTTTTAGCCTCCAGTCCCCTAATCATCTTTGTTGCTCTTCTCTGTCCTCTTTCTAGAGTCTCGACATCTTTTTTACGTGGTGACCAAAACTGGATGCGGTATTCCAAGTGTGGCCTTACCAAGGCATTGTAGAGTGGTATTAATACTTCACGTGATCTTGATTCTATACCTCTGTTAATGCAGCCTAGCACTGTGTTGGCGTTTTTGGCAGCTGCAGCACACTATGTTTGATGGTCCTGAACAAGCAGCCATGCCCAGCATTTCCACTTAGATGGGGATGGGAGGAATTTCAGCATTCCTCCTGCTTGTGGGCTTCTTCCTCAAAGACATCTTGTTAGTTATTGTGGGACCAGCATGTGAACCGCCCCGGTTGGTTCAGCATGCTGGAAAGTTTGGGAAAGCAAAGGAAAGTCAGTTCAGGAAAGCAAAGACTCAGAATGAACTTTTGCAACACAATTAAAGATAATAAAAAAGTTTATTTCAACATATAAGTAACAAAAAATGTCAAGAAAACAGTCGGTCCACTAAAGAGAGAAGATGGTAAGGACGTAACAAGCAGTAGAGAGAAAGCAGAGCTGCTTCACTCATTCTTTGCATCAGCCTTCACACAAAAAGAAACTACAGCCCAACTTACCAAAAACATAAATGTAAAAGATGGACTAGAAATAAAAATTAAAATAAGCAAGAAAATGGTAAGAGAACACCTGTCTGACCTTGATGAATATAAATCACCGGGGTCTGATGGATTACATCCTAGAGTTCTGAAGGAGCTGTCAGATGTTATCTCAGAACCATTGTATCATATCTTTAAAAAACCTTGGAGCACTGGAGAACTACCAGAGGATTGAAAAAGACTGATGTGATTCCCATCTTCAAAAAAGGGAGAAAAAAACAGACCCAGGAAATACAGACCAATCAGCCTAACATCAATACCAGGGAAGATACTGGAAAAAATAATCAAAAAACAGATCTGTGAACATCTAGAAACCAATAAAGTTATAATTAGTAGCCAGCATGGATTATGCCAAAAAAACAGATTATGCCAAACCAATCTTATTTCATTCTTTGACAAAGTGACTAAATTAGTAGACCAGCAAAATACTGTGGACATAGTATATTTAGACTTCAGGAAGGCATTTGACAAAGTAGACCACAACCTACTTCATGGTAAGCCAGAAAAATGTGGGATAGACAACATCACCACCAGATGGATTTGCAACTGGCTGACAAACCGTACTCAACAAGTAGTCCTTAATGGTACTACATCTACATGGAGGAAAATAAGCAGTGGGGTACCACAAGGTTCTGTCTTAGGCCCAGTACTCTTCAATATCTTCATAAATGACTTAGATGAGGGAATACAAGGGGATCTCATCAAATTTGCAGATAACACTAAGCTGGCAGGAATAGCCAACACCCCAGAAGACCAGCTCAAAATCCAAAAAGATCTTTATAGACTTGAACAATGGGCCCCATCCAACAAAATTATATTTAATGTGGGAAAAAGCAAGGCTTTACACCTGGGCAGGAAAAACCAAAGGTACAAGTACAGATTAGGCGAAACCTGGTTCAAAAACAGTAACTGTGAGAGGGACCTTGGAGTCCGAATGGACGATCACTTAAACATGAGCCAGCAGTGTGCAGCAGCAGTCAAAAAAGCTAAAACAATCCTTGGTTGTATAAACAGAGGCATAGAATCAAAATCACATGAAGTATTAGTACCGCTTTATAAAGCCTTAGTAAGGCCACATATGAAATATTGCATCCAATTTTGGTTACCGCATTACAAAAAAGATGTTGAGACTTTGAAAAAAAAAGTGCAAAGAAGAGCAACTAAGATGATTAAAGGCCTGGAGACTAAAACATATGAAAAACAGTTGCAGGATTTTGGTATGGCCAGTCTAGAGAAAAGAAGGACTGGGGGGGGAGGAGGGCAGGATAGCAGTGTTCTAGTATTTGAGAGGCTGCCACAAGGAGGCGAGGGTCAATTTATTTTCCAAAGGACCAGAAGGCAAGACAAGAAACAATGGATGGAAACTAATCAAGGAGAAATGCAACCTGGAATTAAGGAGAAATTTCCTAACAGTGAAGACAATTAACCAGTGGAACGACTTGCCTTCAGACACTGTGGATGCTTCAACACTGGAGGTTTTTAAGAAGAGACTGGACAGCCACTTGTCTGAAATGGTATAGGGTCTTCTGCCTGAGCAGGGGGCTGGACTAGAAGACCTCCAAAGTCCCTTCCAGTTATATTTTGATTGATTGATTGGTCCTTCCTCTTACCCAGTAGGCCTCCTTTAAGTTCCCACAACAAAAATGTAGGCAGAGGACAGTCAGGACCTCCCAGAGAGAGGAAAATAGGAAATTAAAAAAAAAAATCAAGGGAAGGCAGAAAAGATAATGCTGCAGGGGACATGATCACATAATCAGATAAAGAGCCGAGGTGGCACAGCAGTTAGAGTGTAGTACTGCAGGCCACTTTAGCTGACTGTGTTCAGCAGGTCAGCAGTTCAAATCTCACCAGCTCAAGGTTGACTCAGCCTTCCATCCTTCCGGGGTAGGTAAAATGAGGACCCAGATTGTTGGGGGCAATGTAAATATATATATACATTGCTTACTGGTGTACACCGCTTAGAGAGTGCTTGCACTTAAAGCGGTATATAAGTCTCATAAATAAATAAATAAAGCAGTGGTTCTCAACCATTTTAATGCCACGACCCCCAACCGGTCGTAAGTCGAGGACTACTCAACCGGTCGTAAGTCAAGGACTACTCAACTGGTGCAGCACCGTTTGCAGAATGGGACTTTTGGCGGGCTCAGCAGGGCAGAGACAGCCTGGACAATTCTATTGGCTTTTGAAAGCCAATAGAATTAGACTCTATTCAAGAGAGTCTATTCTATTGGCTTTCAAAAGCCAATAGAATAAAAGGGAGTAGCACAGCTAAGGAAAAGGGGGAAAAAATGGCGGACTGCGTTGTTTGGCGACCTCCGTGAAATGGTCATTCGACCCCAAATGGGATCCCGACCCACAGGTTGAGAACCACTGAGATAAAGGGACACCTATGCTGTATAGCAACTGGGTTCACACAACACAAAAGAGATGATTTATTGCAATATTCAAATAAGTAAGAATGTTTTAACTTAATTAGAACCACCATATTTTTAATAGAAGAGAATATCTGTAGCTGAGGGTTGAACTATGGACTCCTTGGTGCTCTCTGAGCTTGCTTGCTTGCTTGCAGATGTTTCATCACCCAACTTTATTATTTTTTATTACTTTATAAATAACTCAAGGCAACAAACATACCTAATACTCCTTTTTCCTCCTATTTTACCCACAGCAACAATTCTGTGGGGAAGATTGGCCTGAGAGAGTGGCTGGGCCAAAGTCACTCTGCTGGCTTTCATGCCTAAGGCAGGACTAGAACTCACAATCTCCTGGTTTCTAGCCATTTTCCTTAACTGCTGGACCAGACTGGGTTCCTGTTTATATAGAAACTACTATATATAAACAGGGAGCAAACCCCACATTCAGTAGCACTGATGATGTTACTTAGTTGGGTAAAGAAACATCTACAAGCAAACAACCAAGCTTAGAGGACACCAAGAGCTCCACAACTATACTTTGGCCAGTGGTTCTCAACCTGTGGTCTGCGGACCCCTGGGGGGCACAATGTTGTCACAATGGGTCCATGAAGGGTTGAAGAAATATTATGATTTAAATCTTAAGTCTTGGAGGTTTGTGGCCACAAAAGGTATTTAAAGGGTGTCCATGGTGAAGAAAAGATTATAGGTTAGGTTATAAAAATTGGCACAGCCACTAGGCAACATCAAAGAGTTGGGTTAATTTACCAAAGGTGATCAACATTTTGTGCGAAAGCAACCAGAGGACAACCTGTAGTTCTCCAGATATTGGGTCACACTAGTTGGGGTTGCTGGGAATTGTCATACAGCAACAAATGTGACTGCATTAAAAGGTGAAGGGGGACCACCTTTATAGGACAAAATGAGGGATGGGGAAGAGCCGAGGACAAATTAAGAGGAGAAAAAATCGTTCTAGGGCAGTGGTTCTCAACCTGTGGGTCGGGACCCTATTTGGGGTTGAACGACCATTTCACGGGGGTCGCCAAACAACGCAGTCCGCCATTTTCCCCCCTTTTCCTTAGCTGTGCTACTCCCTTTTATTCTATTGGCTTTCAAAAGCCAATAGAAGAGACTCTCTTGAATAGAGTCTAATTTTATTGGCTTTCAAAAGCCAATAGGAATTGTCCAGGCTGTCTCTGCCCTGCTGAGCCCGCCCAAAGTCCCATTCTGCAAACGGTGCTGCACCAGTTGAGTAGTCCTCGACTTACGACTGGTTGAGTAGTCCTCGACTTATGACCAGTTGGGGGTCGCGGCATTAAAAAGGTTGAGAACCACTGTTCTAGGGGCAGGCAGAACAACTATGGGGTGGAAGGAAGACCCAAAGGCTCCCAAGTCACTTTTCAGATGCCATGGATTACACCTCCCATCATCTCCAGCCTGACAGATTCGCTACACAGGCAGATCTGGAATTCATCATACAAGGGAACCACTGACAGATGGATACAGAAGGACAAGAATATGGAGCTGTGGAGATGAGGAAGACGATCCACCCTCACCCAGGGTTACACTGCCCACACTCACACAACTTAAGTAATCAGTTCAGGCATCATGCATTTGCACAGCACCCTATTTTCCATTTAGCTTTAATTATGCTAGGCTCTACCCTAATTCAGCCTGGAGTGCGCAGCCAGCAGGTGAGTACGGTTCCTTATCCTGTGCAAAGGCAGAAAACGGGCTAATGCGGTAACCTAGTTAATTAAACCTGGCGTGCCACTACAGCACCATACACACAGAGACACACTCCGACAGCTTCCTTGGCAAGAGCCCCGCCCAGTTTCCAGAGGTGGGTCAGAACTCGGAGAATCGCAATCAAAATAAAAACGCGAAACAGCTGCGGGGCGGGGGAAGCACCCGGACGAAAGAGGAGAGAAAGAGGGCACCGCCTCGTCCTCTAGGCACCGAGGAGCCGCGGAGAGCACTCCGTCGTGGGGGGAACCGCGGTCCCGTGTGGGGCAGAGTTGGGAAGGGGGAGAACTGCGCCATCCCTCCCCCCCCCAAGGAGGTGGGACTAGAGACGGCTTGGGGGGGGGCAGGCAGGAAGGGATCCGTCTTTGCTCCGGTCCTCACCTGCTGAGGCTGCTGTTGCTCGGCGTGGACGGTCGCTCGGCGAAGGTTTCGGCCCCGCCGGGCTCCGCCATCTTCCCGCCGCCTTCCGCTTGCTGGAGGCCGCCCCAGCCGGGGCTCAGCCGGAGTGGGACGCCGGGAAGGGGAAGGGCAGGGCCGGACAGGGCGCGGGAGAGACGGACCAGAAGGCGCTCCGCGCGTCCCCAAGAGCGCGCGAGCGTCCGGAGAGGAGAAGCGTCCCGCGCGCGCAAAACCGAAACCGGGACCCCCCTGGCAAGCGGGGGTGTGGGGAGGCGCTCTCTATATTCGAAGAAAGAAAGAATAAAGCGGGAGGAATTGGTTTATTTATTTTTTTTTTGAAGTGGCGTGAAAATAAGGCGTCCCGGGGTGAGAGGGCGCCAAGAGGGGGGCCTCGGTTATGCTTTCTGCAGCCGCCTCGGAAGGGCAGCGCTGCGCCTTTCGCGGCTCACCAGGGGCTCCTTGAGCCGCTCGGAAGGCGTAGACCCCGCTGCCCCTCCCCGGGCTGCGTTCACACGGCGCCTGCTTTGAGGGGTTTGTACAATCCTGGCAAGCGCATTGGTGGATTCGCCCCGGAGAAGCCACTTTGGGCTTAGCCGGGGTTAACCCCCGTCGAATTTATTCTTCCATCGGCTGTTTAGCCTTTCCTGGAGCGGAGTGAAGCGTGAAGGCCGGTCGCAAGAGTTGGAGACGTTTCTGAATGTGGGAACAGATTCCACGCCCGTCCAGGCTGCTGTTCTTTCCCTGCCCTGTGTGGCTATGCAGAATTTTGAGGAGTTGTATCCTTTGGAGTATGTAAATGAAGGTTCAATCATCCAGTTGAACAGATTGTCCAAAGTTCAATTGTAAATGTTGCCATGATTTAACCCTTTCAGTGCCCAGGATATACGGAGTTTTCTCATAAAATGTGAGGACTGACCCAATTGAAAGAGTGCAGGTAGGCAACCTTGGCTCTTTTATGACTCCTGGACTTCAACTCCCAGAACTCAGGAATTCTGGGAGTTGAAGTCCACGAGTCATAAAAGAGCCAAGGTTGCCTACCCCTGAGATGTCACACATCTAAATGCTTCTGAATTCAACAGCTAAATACAGGTAGTCCTCAGCTTACAGTCATTTGTTTAATGGGTGTTCGAAGTTACAACAGCATTGAAAAAAGTGATTTCTACAGATAGTCCTTGACTTATGACCTCAACTGAGCCCAAAATTTCTGTTGCTAAGCAAGACATTTGTGAGGTGAATTTTGCTCCATTTTACGACCTTTCTTGCCACAGTTGTTAAGTGAATCACTAGTTAGTAACAGGGTTGTTAAGTGAATCAGGCTTCCCCGTTGACTTTACTTGTCAGAAGGTCACAAAAGGGGATCACATGGCAATGGGGCATTGCAACTGTCATAAGTACGTCAGTTGCCAAGTGTCTGAATTTTGATCACGTGACCATAGGGCAATGGTGGCGAAACTATGGCACGGGTGCCAGAGGCAGCATTCAGAGCGCTCTCTGTGGGCACGCGTGCCATCGCCCCAGGCTTAGGCCTTCAGCTGGGTTTTATAAAATCTTTTTGCTTAGGCCTCCACCGCCGTGTGCAAAAAAAAAAAAAAAGCTCAATCAGTCAATTTCAACTTCTCACGGAAAAAAAAGATCTTGCAAAGTTGGAATTGATTGATTGAACTTTTTAGTCCCACCCAGTCTGCCGTTACCACCGCAGCCACGCCCATTGAATTGGCCACACCCAGCCAATGGGCCATACTCACCCGGCACTCAACGATGCATAAGTGGGCTTTGCGTTGCAGTTTGGTCACTCAGTCTCTAAAAGGTTTGCCATCGCTGCCATAGGGGGATGCTGCGATGGTCATAAGGGTAAAAAACCGTCATAAGCCATTTCTTCAGTGCCATTGTAACTTCAAACAGTAACTAAATGAGTTGTAAGCCGAGGACTACCTGTAACTGGTGTTTTTTACACTTAGGAGTGTTGCAGCATCCTCAGGGTCACATAATCAAAATTCGGATGCTTGGCAACTGGCAGATATTTATGATGTTTGCAGTGTCCTGAGATCATGTGGTCACTTTTTGTGACCTTCTGATAAAGTCAGTGGGGAAACCAAAGTCATTAACTGCAGTGATTCACTTTACAACGGTGGCAACAAAGATCATAAAATGGGGCAAAACTCATTTAACAACTGTCTCACTTAGCAATGGAAATTTTGGGCTCAACTGTGGTCGTAAGTCAAGGACTACCTGTCAATAAACAAGAACATAGACATTCAGCGCATGTTCCCCTGGTGAGCGCCGGCACATCTAGCAATATTTGCTTCTCAAGGGCCAACCCAGCTGGGCAACTTCAAGGAAACAACAATGATGCCTACAGTGCATAGATTGAACTGTGGGGTCCGTGGTGCTCTCTGAGCTTGATGGTTTTCTTGCAGATATTTTTAATAATAATAATAAATTTAGAAGGGACCTTGGAGGTCATCTAGTCCAACCCTCTGCTCAGGCAGAAAACCCTAAACCAGTGATGGCGAACCTTTTAGAAGTCTCTTTTAGAAGTACCCAAAAACCGGCCCGCCCCCGCTCTGCCCACCCGCTCCCGCCCACCCTTGGCCATCCACAGCATGCTCAGATCACCCAGGTAGCCCTGCAGTGCCATGGTGGCCACGCCCTCCACCCGCACCCCGCAGCATCATCTGCTGCCCAGTTGCCATGTGCTTGGCTCTGCAGCTCCGCACGGACCGCACCCAGGGGTGACTTCTCGGGGGGGGGGGCTGCTGGGGAGGCGGGGCTGGGGCGGCGGGGCTGGGGCGACAGCGTGCGTGCCCACAGAGAGGGCTCTGAGTGCCACCTCTGGCACTAATGCCATGGGTTTGCCACCACTGCCCTAAACCATTTCAGACAAATGGTGGTCCAGTCTCTTCTTAAAAACTTCTCTTCATTAAACTAGACCACAGGTCGGCAACCTGCGGCTCTGGAGCCGCATGCGGCTCTTTGAGCTTTCCCCTGTGGCTCCCAACCTCCTCTGCCATTTGCAGACAGAGACAGAGGCACTTGCACTTCCGTGCTGCTCTCTGTCTCTCTCTGTCTCTCTGTCTCTGTCTCTCTCTCTCTCTCTCTCTCTCTCTCTCTCTCTCTCTCTCTCTCTGTGTGTGTGTGTGTGTGTGTGTGTGTGTGAAAGAGAGTAGACTCACAGTGTTCTCTGACAAGCTGAAAAGCTTTTTGGGCGGGGCTCCTCCCTTTGCTGCATCTCTGCAAGAAGCAGGAAGCAGGAAGGGCAGGAGAGAGCTAGCTAGCCCAGATATGCTAACTCAGGAATTCTGGGAGTTGAAGTCCATGAATCATAAAAGAACCGAGGCTGCCTACCTCTGAGCTTGTTGGAGAACAGCTTGAAGCCAGCTTGCCAGGTGAGCAGAAGATCGGAGAGAGGGGGGGAAGAGAAAGAGGGAGAGACAGAGAGAGGGAGGGAGAGAGAGAGAAAAAGAAAGAGTGGGGGAAGAGGACTGGCAGACCAAGGGCAGAAAGATGGAGAGAGAGGGAGAGAGAGAAAAAGAAAGAATGGGGGAAGAGGACTGGCAGACCAAGGGCAGAAAGATGGAGAGGGAGAGAGACAGAGAGAGAGAGAGACCTTTTTGACATCTAAAATGAAGATAACACTGCATATACCCTTTTTTACCTTTATGATGGGTGTGTGTGTGTGTGTGTGTGTGTGTACAGGTCCAAGTGGTTCTTTGAGTGTTTTGGGTTGCCTACCCCTGAACTAGACATACCCAATTCCTGCAACCGTTCCTCATATCTTTTATCCTCCAGTCCCCTAATCATCTTTGTTGCTCTCCTCTGTACTCTTTCTAGAGCAGTGGTGGTGAACCTATGGCACGGGTGCCAGAGGCGGCACTCGGAGCCCTCTTTGGGCACGCGTGCCGTCGTCCCAGTCCTAGGTCTTCAGCTGGGTTTTATAAAACCTTTTCGCTTTAGGCCTCCGCCGCCGTGTGCAAAAAAAAAAGGTGCAATCAGTCAATTTCAACTTCTTGCGGGAAAAAAAAAGATCTTGCAAAATTGGAATTGATTGATTGAACTTTTTAGTCCCATCCAGTCTGCTGTTACCACCGCAGCCACGCCCACCCAATGGGCGACGCCCAGCCGACACCCAACGATGCATAAGTGGGTTTTGGGCACTTGGTCTCTAAAAGGTTCGCCATCACTGTTCTAGGGTCTCAACATCTTTTTTACATCGTGGTGACCAAAACTAGCCAGTGCATTCTAACCCAGAGCTCACCAACCTTTCTCAGTTGACGGACCAAAGGAAAAGGGAGAGGGAAGCATTTTACACACAAGCATGCGTGTGTGCATGGGGACACAAGCACCTGCGTGCAGCAAATGGGGCGGGGTGAGCACCCATGTGATCACTAACTCAGCCCTGTTCTTGTGTGGAGCAGTGCCTTGTTTCCAGGTAGCGTGGCGGCATCCACTTTTGTACCTTGCAGTGTGGTGGCATCCTGTTTTCATGCTGTAAGGTGTGGCGGCATCCCATTTTTACGCCCCGCAGTACGGCTTCCTGTTTTCGTGCTTGCGGCGGCACTAGCGCAAGTGTGGGGGGTGTGTACATGCGCACGCACTGGCCAACCTGTCCTGTGGCACGGTGGCCAGCAGGCCATGGCCCACTACCAGGCCGCGGCCCACAGATTAAATACTCCTGTTCCAACCACTGCGTCACCATGACTTATCTGCAGATCTACCCTCTTACATCTACCCATGGTAGATGAGGATATATTACAGGTCCTGTCTATTAAGGAATTCCATTGGATCGGAACCTTAAGTCGGGCTTTTTCCGCTGTGACTCCTATCTTCTAGAACAGGGTATCACTTGTGATACATTGGGACATGGCAGGTGGTATAGGAACATCCTAGAAAAGTGGTAGCGGGGGAGGGGAATGAGCTGAACCGGTGGCAGCACCGCACAAGCCTGAGCGAGAGATGGCTGGAGCTCCAGGGCTGTCAGGGCTCAGTGGAAGTGCCAGGATCAGTGCCAGGCTCCAGCTGGAGCTCAGCGCTGATCCTGGTGCTTCTGCTGAGCCCAGAAGAAGCGCTGATCAGCTGGAATGTTGCAGCATCTCCAGGGTCTTGTGTTTACATTCAGATGCTTGGCAACTGATTCGTATGTATGGTGGTCACAGCGTCCCAGGGTCATGTGAAGTGATCAAAACCTGCTGCAACCACCCAGCAGATGGGGGGAATAAAAACCAAATATCCCCTCACCCCACCCCTGCTGCCAATCCTCAACAGAAATGCTCACAACAGTGGAAACCTCAGACAGGAGGAAGAGCGCCGCTGGGTGGGCAGGCACGTGTCTTGCTCGGCTGTGGCTTGGGGGGCACTTTTTTCAGTGCCATTGTAATTTTGAACAATCACTAAGCGAACTGTTGTAAGTCGAGGACTATCTGTACCTTATCACTTTTTTCCTTTTTTTGGGGGGGGGGTTATCAAGTTTTTGATACCTTGCTAGGTGACTGGTGGTACTCGGATATTGCCATATGCTAAAAGTGGTACAATGGGTGAAAAGGTTGAAAAGCCCTGCTCTAGAACAGACCTGTGCACTGTATGGCCCATGGGCCACATATGGCTTTTTGGCTGTGCCTGTCGGTCATTGAATACATAAACTAATGGATTGTAAACAGACTGATTGACCTAGTACACTCGCCCTGAACCAAACCAGCCATATTATTGCTTAATTTACTGTACCAACCCAGGCAAAATAGCAAACTGATGAGGGAGTGGAGGCTGAACCTGTACTTTCCAG